CACACCAGAACACTTTTTCACTGGAGGAAGCGTTATTATGGATTATGGACTCGCATTTGAGTTAAAAACGTTTTTTTTTTTTACTGTAAAAAAATATGCTTCTCTGGGTTTGTTTTGTGATGATGGTTTATGGTCGTACAGTATTGTTGACCGTACTTTTCTTCTGGTTCCACAGGAAGCTATTTCGTTCTGCTGAAGTTAGTCACAAACCACCACCGAGTTTCTCATTTCCCAACCACACAGTACAATGTAGGTTTGCTCTGCCAACTCTTATTCTCACATCATTCGAGCCGTTTGTTCTTACACACACACACACCGGTATGCTTTTCATGTCCATTGATTCAGATCTTTCCTACACAGACCCGCATATTATCTGATGTGATTCCTCAACACACATCTGTTTCCTTGTTATAGAGCATGGCAGATGGCAGTAAATAATGCGATGATATGATCAATACATATATTTAATAAAAACATTAAAATCAAGCAGGGCTAAAACTAAGCCATTAAAAAAACTCACACCGTGTCTACACTGGACGCGATCGAACTGGTGCGTATGCGGAATGTCACGGAATTTGTCAAAGTTTGGGTTAATAAATCAAAAGTAGGTCATTACACTTAAATCAAATTGCGATATCGACTGGTATCTGTAAATATTAAGCTGCAAAAATAAAATTTAAATACGAATCCTGCATGTCTCTTTATGAATGAATGGCACAGACGCGCGGTTTCGTTTACTACACGCATACTGAAGCCTGCAGTGTTTTCAGCGTTTTTAAAAATAAACCCCTTTGTATTGCTTTGCATATTGTATGTTCAGGGATGACAGATTGAGAAGCAGGCATGCTATTTATGACTGGATGTAACTTTTCATACTTTGCAGTAAAAGTGGCTCTCCTATTAACTTTGTTCTATAAGTGCGGCTCTCGTGAAGAAAATAGTGAGGTTCACTGTTATAGAGTGACATCATAAGTGTGATATTGACTAAATCACATCAGTGTTAGTGCTCCTGTTCATCAGAAATGAGTCTGAGCTCCAGTGTGGTGATTTCTTATCTCTGAGTTGTGTTGTTTTCTGACTGATATCTGTGCTTTCTGTCAGTTTGTGTAGGTTTGCAGAAATCCCCCACTTTCTGAAAACACAAGAGCCGTCACTGAGGCTGTAGTCTGGAAGAAAAAAACAAACAAAACACCTGCGCACATCATTTACTCCTACAGAGGGCATATTTTTGAGGCGCTGCCAGCTGACAGCCAGTGTGTGGTTTCCTTTCAAGTCTCCTCAGGGTTTGTCAAATGCGTGTACATTCAGCAAGACGCGTCATTCTGACAACTTCCGGTTTCTTGAGAATCCCAAAATCATCATCCTTATCTTTATGTTATAGTGCTGTGTATATTCAGTTTCTGTGAACCTAAATGCGTCTGTTTGACTGCTTTAACAAATCTGAGACCGCCAGTAATTGCAAATGTTGTCGGAAATCGAAAAATGGGCGTGAATTTTAGCCAGGGTTATTATAGTTAACTAAAACCAAAACCATAAAAACATTTGTGTTACATATTTTGAATCATTTTTTAATGTATTAAATATTTTTATTCTCTATTTATTCATTCATTCATTCATTCATTGATTATTTATTCATTAATTAATTCATTGATTGATTGATTGATTGATTGATTGATTCATTCATTCATTCATTCATTCATTCATTCATTATTTATTTATTCATTCATTCATTCATTCATTCATTCATTCATTCATTCATTCATTCATTCATTCATTCATTCATTCATTCATTCATTCATTCATTCATTTCATTCATTATTTATTTATTTATTCATTCATTCATTCATTCATTCATTCATACATTCATTATTTATTTATTTATTTATTCATTCATTCATTCATTCATTCATTCATTATTTATTTATTCATTTATTTATTCATTCAGTTATTCATTCATTCATTCATTCATTCATTTATTTATGTCTTTAAATATCTATATCCTATATTGTTTTATTAATTAGTATTTATTAGTTTTAGTTCATTTATGTTTTAGTTATTTTACTACTTCAGATTAAACTAATCGAAAATGAGAAATGTTTCCTTGGGAATCAGATGAAATAAAAAAAAAATGTCAGTTAACGTTTATTTTATTTCAGGTATAAACAAGCTATAACAGTATATAAGTCATAGTAAAATACCAGTGGTTTGAGAAGTGTGTCTGGCATCTGCAGCTTCAGTGGAAACAAGAACATCTGAGCGTTTGTACAAATAGTCACGTGATCGCTGACACTCATTTACGTACAGTGCATCTGATTATTCTCATATAAAGAGCAGTTTTCTGCTTGAGTTCCTTCTTCGTTTCAGTTTCCGTTGTTTTCAAATGTTCCAAATCCTGACACTTTCCATCTATTTCCAGCTCAGATCAGAGAATGCTGTGCTGCTGTGCGTGCAGGATTCAGTTTAATCATGTGTTTAATGTTGACCTGAAACAAGACGTGCTCAGAAGCAGCTGATATTTCCTTCTCATGGGGTTACTATAGGCCTAGATAGGACTTTATCTCTCCAGACTGAAGTGAATGTGTCAGCGGCTCTTTCTGTGAAGCTGCTGCGAGGGTTTTGTGTGAAAGCAGCTGAACTCAGCTCAATGCAGGTATAACACACAGTGCTGGATATACAGCAGTATATGAGCCTCGCTCTTCATCAGCTGCAGTCTGAGCTCTTCTGATCAACATGCGAGTCACGGACAGCGTGCGAGAGTAAGTAACTCATCGTCACGGACAGAAATCACTCTTACAAATAAAGCTGGTTTTTATCGTTTTTATCCATGATTCCATTAACGTCCGTCAATCTTTTAAATGCACTAAAGAATCCTTACAGTGCAAAAGGGTTCTTTAAATTATTAAAACGTTCCTCATACTAATAAAAGATGATTGAGAACTAAGAACAGTGAAAGGTTCTTTGGGGAAATTGAAAAATTAAGTTCTGTATTCATCTCATGTCTTTATTTCCAAAAATCTTTTTTTTTCTTTTTTCTTTTAATTACAAATTTAGTCAGAATTGAACAAATGAACATGAATTTGAGACCTGATTCTAATATTTAACTAAAACTAAAACCGTAAAAAAGTGTGTTACGTGAAATAAAATAAACATTAGTTGAAATGAAATGAAATATAAAAAAACGTATTTCATCGAGATGCCAAAGTAACATTTCTCATTTTTGTTTAGTTTAACTTGAAGTACTAAAATAATTAAAACTGAGACGAAAATAATGAAAAATTAAAAACTAATAAATAAATGCATTTAAAATAAATATATATAAATAATGATATCAATAAATTAATATTTAATGAACTTAATAATATTAATCAAAATATTA